ATGAGAAATATTGGATATATTAATAATTATCAAGTTTTGAAACAGGTTATCCAGGTTGGAATAATTAAACTAATATCGCGATCTAAATGAAGACAAATGGCACAACTAAGTGCAACAGATTAGCTAAACAAAATATTCAAATTCATCCTTGCTGTAAAACACAGATTGGACAGTGGTAGTCATGTGGGGGTCACCCTCCCGTGAACTGTCCACAGCCCAATGCATCTTGAAATAGTAGATATCACAATTCAGTGAAGTCTTGGTCTGAGAAATTAAACACTAAAGTTCTTGTACAACACTGAGGCACATGAGTTACTGAAACTATACACTATGTACATATAGGGACGGCGGTATTTGAGCGAAGTAGCAAATGGTGAAAAACATTTTACACTAGCAATAAATAATCAGAGCTTTGAAGATCCAGGTACACGGATCATGTCCATAAGTCCACAATATTACAAAGTCTCTGATATAACAATAAGAAGATTACGAAAATGACAAATATAAGATCAGTGCTTTGAAGATCCAGGTACACGGATCATGTCCATAAGTCTATAAAGTTTCAAAGACACTGGTAAAATGACACAATGAAGATAAAATAAAGATAATAGTACTATGTACAATATATACACATTTCACCATTTGCTGTTATGGAAGATGCCTCTTGGGCGCTTTGCTGCAATTTCTATAGTAGGATCATAATAATTTATCAGATCACGGATATGTTCGTATTGAGAAAGTTCTATTTTAGCATAGAAATTGTGGCTCGTGGTGAGAATTTGATCAGCTATGGGTCTTATTTTTAGTTCTTTATGTATCTGCAGGTTACGTACGAACCATGGGGAGTCAACAATTTGTCTGAGTATTTTGTTCTGAAAGACCTGTAGTTTGTGTCTATAAGTCTTGTACACAGTGGCCCAGATAGGCACTGCATAAAGTAGGGTGGGTCTTATTAAGCTGGTATAGATCTTCTTCTTGAGACTGATATTTAATTTAGCATTTTTCTTCTTATTAAAGGGTAAAGAGACATTTTAGCAGCGGTGGCTTTGCGCAAGGCATACTCCGTGTGTTCTTTGAATAACAGCTGTGAGTCGAAGACCACTCCTAGATACTTGGTACTTGAAACAATTGCTAGGGCTTGATCATTAATTTTTATATTTACATTCACAGGAGTGAACTTCCGATGACGTCTGAAAAGGAGAATTTGGCTCTTTGACGGATTTACTTTTAATTTCCATGAATCATAATAGTGTGCTATGATATTTTACTGCGCTTTCAAGTTTATCTACAGCGAGCTGAGGTTTTAGCGACTTGGTTAAAATTGCTGTGTCGTCGGCATATTTCACTACTTTTGCATTCAAAGGAACCGGCATATCATTCGTGTAGATATTAAACAGAAGCGGAAGCGGTCCAGAACGCTTCCTTCAGCCACTCCGCTTTTAATTCTTTTTCTTGAAGAGAGAGAGTCATTAATTTTTACCTGAAAGGTCCTGTTTTTAAGATAGCTTTTCATGAGCTTAATAAAACTGATGGGCAGATGAACAAGGTGCAGCTTGTAGAGGAGACCCTCATGCCACACCTTGTCAAATGCTTTTTCTAGATCTAGAAAGCAGCTGGCGATTGTGTTCTTTTTTTGCGAAGGAGTCTGCAATAAATTCTGTAACGTTCAGTAGTTGGTGCACGGTACTATGACCGGCTCTAAAACCAAACTGCTCTTTACATATAATTTCTTATCCTCTAGATGTTGAGTTAATCTCTTTTGGAGCACACGCTCAAATACCTTTCCCAAACTGGGGAGAAGGCTGATCGGACGGTAGGAGTTTAAGTCCTTTGGGTTTTTCCCCGGCTTGACAAACGTAATTATCTGCGCGTGCTTCCACTGTTGCGGAAAGTAATTGAGCCTCATACAAGCATTGACTATGTTTGTAATGAGGACTATGTAGGTTCTTGGGAGAGCTTTGAGAACCGTATTGGTGATGCTATCGTAGCCGGGAGCTTTCCTGGACTTTAAGTTGCTAATTATATTACTTATTTCTGTTGGAGAAGTTGGGTTGAAGTGATTATTACAATTTCTGTCAGCTAGGTGGTTAATGAAATTATCGACTTCTTCTTCATCTGTCTCATCATTATTAGAGGCATGATTGGTGAAAGTCTTTTCTAGATGCTGCGCAAGGGCTTCAGCCATGTCATGTTCAGAATAAGCAATTCCACTACTGGTGTGGAGAGGACCAATATTTCTGTTATTAGTATTCCTTAAGGAATTTCCAATACGCCAGACTGTATTCGGAGAGAAATCCATGGAGTCTAAGAAATCGTCCCAACAATTTGATCTGTACTCTAGGAGGAGGGTCTTGATGTTCCTAATTTTTCTGTTCAGATTTCTTTTAACAGTGGGATCGCCTGTTCTTCGCCAGATTTTTGCTGTGCGGTTTTTGTCTTTTATTTTCTCAATGATGTGGTCGGGGAGCTTGTCTTTCTTATAATCTTTGAATTTGGTGGAATCATCAAGGGCTTTCTTAATTTTACTATTGATCTTAGTGATATTGTACTCAATGTCTACAATATCGGCAAGAGCCGGGTGTGCAGGTAATTGTTCCAGAGAATTATTGAATTTCTGCCAGTTTATAATTTTCTTTAAAGGCAAGGTCTTCTCAAAGCCATGGTAAGTAAATTTAACAGGGAGATGGTCAGAGGTTAATTGATTAATCACCTGTAGGAAAGGGATTTGCTGGATATTTTTTTGTAATAACAATGTCGAGAACATCCGAGCTGCCTGTATGATGATACCTGGTAGGTTCCGTTGGTCCAAAAATTCTAAGGTCATTCGTAAGAGCATAGCTATAAAGTTTGTTGCCATTTGTGTTATTTCTTTGAGAATTCCAGCTATGATGTTTAGAATTCAGGTCCCCTGCTATAATAACAGGGTGAGTGATATTGTTAAAAATTTGCAAGTCATTGTTGGTGAGAATGTTTTTCTGGGGGGATTATAAGCCGAGATGATGACAATCGGCTCATTTGTGCGCGAATGCACAACGATCGCAGTGGTTTCAATGCTGCTGCTATTGGGAATATTAAACTCGTTGGCGTGCAGATGCCTTTTAATTAATATCATAGTACCGCCGCCCCTGTTATGGTCTCTGTCCGTCCTGAATGCGTTGTAACCATTGATCTTGAACTTATCATTAGGTCTGAGCCAAGTTTCATTCACTAGAAACACATCAATATTATGGTGATTAAGGAAGTTTGCAACTTCAACGTTCTTGTGGCGAATACCGTTGGCGTTAAAAAATGCGAGGTTTAAACTGCTGGGGGCAGTGAGGTGAGTTCTTGAATTACTGTTAATGTGGTTAAAATTAAATTCATAATTGATGCTTGATAAAAGTTCAAAGGCTTCCCAGCCGACTTGGATTTTTTCCAATATTGATTTAGATTTTAAGAACCGCTCGAAGAGATTTTTTCCTTGCAGGAATAATTTCTTCAGCCAAATTATGAAATCGGAAACGGAGCCTAAGTTCTCACTTTCGACAGCTGCGTCCTGATTGGTGGATGAAGCATTCTGCTCATTAACATTTTTCACTGCTATTTTGGGTTATGTTTCTTCTTGGCAGAGGTGGGAAATTTTCTAAGTTGATATCAGGGGGACTATTTTTTGAAGTTTTTCTCGCTTCTTTTTGGAATTCTTTTTCTGCAATTTTTCTTTTCAAGTTATCCGGATGCATTTCGCAACCACGGTACGAACTAATGTGGGGGCCTCCGCAGAGGCAACATTTGCCGGGTAAGTTTCTGTCTTTTGTGCATGTAGTAGTAATATGGTTTTGCCCGCATTTTAAACACCTGGGCTTGTGCTTACAGTGAGCACGACTGTGGCCATACCTCTGACAGTGGTGACACTGTTTGTGTCCTGGAGTGGGTCTGAAGGGAGTAATTTTAACAGCCAAATCTAGAATATGCGTTATGTTGTATATTTTCTTGCCTTCTATGCTGCGTTTGACTTCAACCATGAAAGTGGGTAGTTTGACAATTTCATTGTCTATTTTCTTGGTAACTTGTCTTACTGTTTTTTAACCGGGATGTTATTATCTATTAGTTCTTCCATAATGTCCTCGGGTTTGGTGTGAACAGATAATTTTTTGATTACAACTCTTATCGGTTTATCCTGAGGGAGAGGAAAGGTATGGTAAGGAATTTCCTTTTCGTCTAGGTATCTCGTGACTTCACGATACTCAGTGTCCGATTTAACTTTAATGTGGATATATATCACCACCTTTCTGTACACATTCCATGGATATGGTAAATTGCTTAATATTATCTCTGAGGGCTTTCCAGTCCGTGACATCTGAAATGATAATCGGCGGAATTCTGTTAGCCTTTTTGTTGGGCGTAATGAAATCACCTTCATTATTAGTACTGTCTTCTTGTGAGTTTAGCGAACTAACATTTGTAGTGTCCATTTTATCATCTATTTTTAGTGAAGCGTATTTATTTTTGGTTGACGTCATTGAAGCGTTGCTGCTTTCACTAAGTGTGCGTTTGTGGTATTTTTTGGGTGTAATCCATTTTTCATTATAATTATTTATTTTGCTTATTTCCTGAATAACATTTGAAACTGGTTTGGGTTGCTTTGTAGTTTGATTAGATGTCGAATCATTGCTAGTATTAACTAACGGGATGCTACCGCAGATATTTTGCACTGAATCTCCTGCAGCTTGTTTAATCGCTACACACTTCTCAAGCTCTGCATAGGTTTTTTGGAGCCATTGCTCCATTTCTGGGGTGATTTTCCGTAAGCCATTTCTAAGCGTGTTAAACGCTAAGTTAAACTCAGACATAATCTGCCTACAATCCTCAATCGTGCCATGTTTAAGAATATTCTCAACAATATCGCGCTTATTAAGGATTGCTAAATCATTTATCTCATCCATATTTACCAAGTCAAGCTATCCTATCGATGTACAAGACAATGCCCATAATGAAAGCGTAGAAATCAAAAATATACTCACGAACTTGTCCAGATGAGCTACTCCAAGTACACCTCTCGAAAGAGACCAACGAAAAACACTTACTATTTATAAATAAATTTCCTTCACTTCCTAAATTTTAGAATCACACTCGTAGAGCAAAATAATAATACGAACTCAAACAACTTTCGTATCGAACTATTTACTACAAACTGAGATGTTTTCCTCCTTTTATAAGATTTTAAAATCACGCGCTAGAATTTTCCAGTACTTTCTCGAAATCAAAAAGAGATATTTATTTATTTAATGCACGCGCTCTTGTATTTTCAATTTTCCGGCTTAGCTTTCTTTTAATATTCGTCACGCGCTGCACTGCGCGAGAAATAAAACCATTTAATTTATAATTGAACTAACATTAGCTTTTTAAATACCAAATTTGTAACAATATATATACAATATGCTTGAATAAAATACGTTAATATAAGAAAGTCTGAAGACTGTACACTAAATATTTCAAAGAACACGTTCATTTAAAGAATTACTTAATACATAAGTAATGAAATAATAGAGTGGTGTAAATAAAGATTGGAATAAAATTATAAAATATTAAATATAATAATAACTATTCCAGAGGATCTCAGTAGCGTAATTTTCGCATATAACTAATTTATGTAATTTGCGAGAGTTTATAGTAATTAGACGTGACATATATCAGTTCCATAATTTCTTACTGATAAGTCTCGTGGGCAAACATAACATTTAAACAGCATTAACCTTTTGATGAAGTTATGGAATTTTAATTACTGTATTTATTCGCATATTTACCACACCCCCTCGGGTATATTTGCTCCTATTTGTTTTCAGTATATATTTTAAAGACTTCTGATTTGTGGTAACAATGTATGAAAGCTGGCATTTTCTAGAATACTTAGGAATTTTATAGGACGCGTTTTTTTAGCTAAAGTCCTGAATATGAAAACTGTTATACACTTTCACAAGGCACTGCATTCAATACCTCGGCATTTTATAAAATGACAAACGCCTTTTAGGCGAAGTATGGAAATAATTCATGATAATAAGGCTTTTAAATAATAGCCTTATTATCATGAATATAATAGCCTTATTATCATGAAGAAGAATATAATAATGTTCATTTATTAAATAGAACATGCAAATATAACACTTAAATTGATTGATTATTTGCAGGGTTGCTGACTTTTACTTTGTCAAAATATCGAATATAATAATATAGAATATAGTAGCCTTATTATCATGAAGACGTAAATTCTTCAAATATACAAACAAATGTTATTTTTGCAAAAATTACCATTAAAAACTTATAAAGTATTTCCTTCTTCCTTTTCACATGCTTTCGGGGTATTTGAAGCACACTTGACGAGTATCCAGGAGGTCTGGAGTTCGAATCCCGGTGAGAGCAATTGCGGAATTGAGTCCTGCTTCAATTCCTAGAATTTATAGGTAACTCTATCGCTCAAGAACAAGTCATGACATGTTGATGTAGATAGCCTTGCAATATCGTTTAATCCGATTCAGTTGTGTGACTGATACAGGCACATTTTTGTAGCACTGTTTTCCCAACCGCGGAATATGAGAAGAGCAATCGTGTTTTTTTTTTTTTTTTTTTTTTTTTTTTTTTTTTTTTTTTTTTTTTTTTGGTGAAAAGAGAGCGGAAAAGTTAAGAAATTATTCAACGTCTACGAGGAGTATCCTGCTTCCATATTTGAAAACTCCTTTACGGAATGTTGGAATTGAGAGTTTAACCATATCATAAATAGATGGATTGAGGAGACACCAGAAAGGTTCTTTGAGGATAGCTTAAAAATTAGTTTTCCGTTAGGATAACTGTAATCAATGAAATGGGCATTAGTTGGAAAACTGCATTGTAATATTGATGAAAATTGAGCAAACGGAAACGTTATACCACAATTCCCAGACCTTTGAAACATCCATCGCAGTAATGCAGAACTTATTCTGCCAGGTTATGTAAATCTGTTACATTTGGATATGCATGTTACTTGGGCACTTATATATATACATACTCACTCTCTTACTAACCTTGAAAGGTCCTTACCGTACCTTTATTGTCACAGTTGTCGGTCGTAGTCATATAACTTCTGGTTGTAGAAATGCTTTAAATGATGACAGTATTAATATTTTGGCAATGTCAAACTAAAACAAAGTTTAGTGCAGATAATGAAATCTGAATTTTAATTCTATCTTTCGGTTCCTGTACTTACAGTCGGGAACGTTGTATACTCGTTATGAGAAAGCAAAATTCTGAGAAGTTTGATACGATAAAGACTGACCGAGATATTTAATTTCAAAATCTGCAGTTTTTGATGTCACTTTCACTTTCCTTGACGGATTGGTTGATTAAGTTAGAAGAATTCGACGAAATAAGTTTAAATAAAACTCTTAAAACCACACAGAAAGACTTTCGACTTTCGTAGTTTTAATTAAAACCACACAGAAAGACTTTCGACTGCTATAATACATGAAAATGCCCATTAAATTATGAAATTTTTTGCTAAGTTTAAATAAAACTCAGCAAAAAATTTCATAATTTAATGGGCATTTTCATGTATTATAGCCGTCGAAAGTATTTCTGTGTGGTTTTAATCCAGAAGAGAATTTCGACGGTTAGAATATTCTATATACTAATCTGAATACAATAGCAGGGGCCCGAACGTCATTTTCGTGTGTTTAGTTTCAGATTCTGAAAGTATTCTTCATCACTGGTCAGATTTTAAAATGACAGATAGTTATAGCACGGTAACACTTTCGAATCAGTTTTGTTGTCCTTTCTTTCAGAAGTTTTTATACTGCGGGTAAATTACGGTTATTGTCTCACATTTTCTTTTGCAAACAAAGCAGTGTTTAAATTTACTTATTTAATAAATTATTCCTTATTGTCCTCGCCTGTCTAAACCATTACCCACATACACATATATTTCCGTCACTGAAGTTGTTATACCATGTTTTTGCCTAATAAACTATTTATTGAAATTTTTATTGAATATTTGTACAATAATTAAAATAATTTTCCATGCTTGAAGATTTATCGTTTAAATAACAGTCATGTTTGTTGCCTGCATTTATTGTCGGAAGAATTCTCATATTTTTGCTAAGCAATACCATTGCATTATAATATACAGTAATGACTTGCGTGGCAATATAAAAATCAAATCAAAATGTGGAATTTAGTTGTCATCTGTGATTTCAGTATAAACATTTCCTGCAATTCAACATCTGAACTATGTTTCAAAAGTTTAAAATTATGAGGCACTCTATGAACAAATAAATTAAATACAAAAAAATAAAAAATCCGAAAGATTTCAGATTTTATATTACGCTCGAAGAGACTCGTTTGAACGTTTTGTGTGTTACCTTAGTTTATTAAATATCATGTTCTTCGCAATCAACCGCATAAAATTTAATTCAACAGCAATATTAAAAAATATTTAAAAACAGCATATCCTTAAAATTCCCTATACACAGTCTCGCGTGCTCCAGATAACAAAAGTTTTTTTTTTTTTTTTTTTTTTTTTTTTTTTTTTTTTTTTTTTTTTTTTTTTTTTTTTTTTTTTTTTTTTTTTTTTTTTTTTTTTTTTTTTTTTTTTTTTTTTTTTTTTTTTTTTTTTTTTTTTTTTTTTTTTTTTTTTTTTTTTTTGTTTTTTTTTTTTTTTTTTTTTTTTTTTTTTTTTTTTTTTTTCCCGTTTTGTGTTGCCATTGCTCGCTTTGAAATCGTTAGGTTTCTTAATCAAAAATTCGTCAAATTACAAAACGTGAAACAGATAATAAAACAAATTCAAAATTCGGACTTCCAAGTCCCCATGTTCAGATGGAGGTCTACGTTATTCATAATTTGATAGCTGTAGGTACCGTCGTTTTTTCACAATGCGAGAAACATACATACATTCATGCAGATTCTTCATTATTTAATTTCTTTAAATATAATACTGGGTGCGATAATATTTGGTAGCAACAATTTAAAAAACGATTGACCGTTTATTGTGAAAAGCCAATAAATGCCTTTTTAAGACTAATAGTCATTCTGAGATACCGCTCCTTTGGGCTAACAAACTATATACAAATATTTTTTCCTTTCTAAGATTTACATATTATTCTTTTGTACTCTGAGTACTGTCACAGATGTTTTTAAAGATTTCTTGCCAGAAACGAAATCTGATCAACGGTAAAACCAGACACATGAATCTCAACTAGTGATGATTATACGATAAATTATACTTATGTGCGCACTGGAAAATATTTTAAAACTTTTTTGAAATGCAACTCCAAAATTTGAAATTCTTAGCATGAAGTTTTCTTATTTCCTAGACGGTGTCTACAAATGAAGGCAGAAGTAGAGTTACTTTTAATGCTTGCCTCACACAGACTTTAGCTTCTCTCATATTCGAAATAAAAATGCTAACTTTTTTGATGAAATTGGATGCTCTGTAATTTTCCTTTTTGGATTAAATTTGCAGAGACAAAATGCTGATTTCTCTGGAGGAAAAGGAATCGAATTGAAATACAGAAGATTCCAGCTCAGAGAAAGCATTGTTCCAATTTACGTAAACAAGTTTGTTTGTTTCTTTGCATTTTGTTGTAAATATTGTTTGTTACGAGCGCACGAGTTCGTACTGTATTGAATGCACACAGCATGTTTATGGTTAGATATAATTTATTTTACTAAAAGAAACACTTTACAGAGCTAGAATTTTCCCCAAAAATACTGGCGCAGCTTTTCTTGGTATGATACAGCACAATCAGTCCTTTCAAACTACTAAGAAAGTCAACACGTAAAAAAGCGTATTTAAAGATTCCCACTTGCACCACGGAGATCTCTCATTGCTACGAACTCAAATCGGAATTAAAAGATGAAAACTGATCTTCCTTTAGCTCTTACATAGTTTTTCTTCGGCCGGCAAGAAATTCCAAGCCAATTTTCAGGCCGCCAAGCGAATTTTCTCAAAATTACTGGAAGACATATACGGTTAAAGTTACATATCCGGGCCCAATACGGTTAACGTTACATACCCGGGCGGTTACAGATACATATAAGGATCTATTACAGTTAGTTCAGTTACAGAGCCAAGTTTAGTTATACAAGTGACAGGTGGCGGAGGACGGGGATGCCGGAGTTTAA